GCTGTGCCGGCTGCTTCGAGGGCGTGACACACCTGTGTGCACACACTCATGCTGGCTTGCACACCCACTCACGTGTGCACAGACATCACTCAGGCCATGTCCTCCCCGTATTGGGCTGATAATTGCTAAGCAGAAGCAGAGGCTTTGCATAAAAACCTGGCTCTCTAGCTTGAGCTGAGCTCACCCATTCCCGGGTCAGCCACAGCCTGCATCCCGCTGCCCCAGTCACACCCCCAGCATCGGCTGGGCCACCGCTGGCAGCACTGCCTCTGCCATGGGAAACGCGGGGGACAGAAATGCCTCAGGAGGTCAGGGGGAGCCCAGGCTGGGACCCGCGGGCATCACGCAGGCCACCAGGCACCACTGACTCACACCGCCATCTCTCCAGAGCGACTCCAGTATCTTCCCAGGCGATCAGGCCCCGGGGTCACCTATTTCCAGACAGCCAAGTCACAGGAGGCTCTACGGCCAGCAGGAGGTGGCCGGGCCCATTGCCCCTCTGGACACCACCTCCAGGCAGCCCCCGGCCAGATGAGGAAAAGTCTGATGTGAGTCGTGTGTGCTACTGCTGGACACACTAGGGAGGCTTGGCAGGAATCCCAGATGTGAGGGTGGCCATGAAGAAGGAGCCAGGGCCACGCCTCAGGCATGCAGTGGTCTCCTTGCTGGGCCTGGCCTTGAAGGCAGCCAGGACTCTGGAGAAACACAGTTACCTCTCGCACAACCAAATATCCATCCAGCAATGAAACCAACCTCATCAAATCGGAAAATCAATGCTACCTACCGCAGCCCTACTTTGACTGTGCTGGGAAACATGGTCCGCTCCTCGTAAGGGGAAGAGAGCCGGCCACAGGCCCCGGACCCCTCTCCTCCCCGTGCTCATACAAGACCGAGAAAATCCACCACCATGAGCAGTCCTCTGTGACTCAGAATTATGAAACACCCGGATGTTCCCTCGTTCCTTTCACAGGAGGAAATTACAGCGGACAAGAAAAGTGAACATTAAGAACTGATCTATTCAGGCACCCACAGGAACCCAGGTGGGCACGCCCTAGTGACCAAATGCCCAGGCCTGAGAAACTCTTGGGATTCTCAGAGCTGAAACCAGAACCATACCCTGTAAGCTGAGAAACACTGTTTACTAAACTGGAGGCAGAAAATATTTGTCAAAGAAGACATAAAAAGACATAAACTTTGCTACGTGAAACTAAGGCTGCTAATCAACCAAAGACACTATAAGCGAAGTTAAAAGGCAAAGCCACAGAAAGCAAAATGTCTGCACAGACAGGGGATTCGAATCCAGATCATAGACATGGCTCTTACAAAGCAATTAGTAAGAGGCTAACATCGAGGGAATGGGTTTGAATGAGGGAAGAGGCAACTCCAAAAGTGGGATCCAAATGGCAGATTAACATAAGAAAAACTCAAGCAATCAAGGGAATGCAAATTAAACCGATGAAATCCTACTTTTCTTCTCCAGGACTGGCAAAACTTCAGAATCTGAACATATCAAGGGCTGATGGAGGAGTCCCATAGACAGGACGCCACTGTGGGAACGGGCTGGCTGCTGCCCCTTTGAAATGTGGTCACCCTGGGTCCTCCGAGCTGAGGCACACTTTCCGACGTGCCCAGTGGCGCAGGGAAAGGTAGTCAGGCTCTCAGGCACCACAGCAGAAAGGCAGAGTGCAGGGTTGTTCCACGGCTACCAGACAGAACCTCTTCCCCCAGGAAGATCTCAAGGCCCTGCTGAGGGCAGCAACCAGCTTCAGAACAAGGTGCGCGCCTGATGCCGTCAGGAAGCAACTGTGCCAGCTCCCTCCACCAGGACACGGGCGCTGATATCGTCAGCAGCTGCCAGGGGAGGGGGTTTGAGCCTCCCTGGTGAAGTTTTTCTTTCTCATCTGGAGCAAGTTGCACGACACACTAGTGTCACTGCGCATGTGTGGATGTGTCTGTCTGTCCGTGTGTCTCCCCACACAATCCCCTCAACCAGGGTGCTGGCTGCAGGCCAGGCCTGTTGCAAGCCAGAGGTCACTTTTTCTTTAAAGGAAAAATAGAGCCATCAATGTAGTCACCAGTCAGGGTCACCAGTGGATGGAGCAGGTGACAGATCTGTGTGCATGAGAGGGAAGAGGGGGCATGGGGAAAGGGACAAGCCAGCCCCAAGGGCGCTGATGGCAGGAGGTGCCAGTGCACCAGCTGTGTCCTGAGCAGCCAGCAGGGAACCAGGGGGACCTTGAGTAGGGTCGGGTCGCACCTCTCCAGGGCAGCAAGCTGCACCCTCTGCTCTCCACACACCTGGTCAAAGGCGAGAAGCCTAGGCCTGCAGGTGGGGCTGCGAGCTACGGCAGGTTCTGCAGGCCAGGTGAGCACAGGTGTGGGTCCCAGCCCAGGCAGAGCCTGCTGAAGTTTGGGGTGCTTGAAGCCCACCCGCTTCTGCTGACTGTTCCCTGCTGGGCATTGTGCAGCGCTCCCCACTCCCTGGCACGGGACAGGCTGAGGGGCCGGCTGTGTGGGCTAGAGCCTGGGACAGGCTGGGAGATGCGCGGCGGCTGCAGACACCCAGCTTCCGGAACTGACACAGGGCTCTTCCACTTCAGCAGGCCTAACCTACTTCGGTCTCTGGCTGCCCGCGAAGCCTGCTGGTCCAGCTGGTTGTCATATTAAAATTTCAAAAGGACTGAGCAGCCCCAGGCTCCATGTGGGTCCTCAGAGTCACCGCCCTCACCCAGCCTATGCTGTGCAGAGCTGGGGAAGTCAGGCATATTACACGTCAAAGTGCCTTTGCAGCCCTAAAAAGCCACAATGTTTAATGCACCTCAGCTGGGACAGGTTGACATCATCTGCCCTAAAAAGCCACAATGTTTAATGCACCTCAGCTGGGACAGGTCATGACATCATCAATCACCTTTCCCTTCAGAAAAAAAATGTTTTAATCTCATTTGGTACAGAAATAGCCCAGGACACATTAGCACTTCCTAATCAGCCTTGGAAGTCTGGAAAAGGAGTGTGTGGGGGGGCTCAGAAGCTCTAACCACGCAACAGCAGGACCCCAAAGGCAACTGCAGGAAACAGCCACACAAATCAAGGCAGCCAGCTCAGCTGCAGCTGGACAAACCCTCCTGTTTCCTAAGGACAGCAGCCAAGGGGACCATCTCAAGGTCTGGCCATCCTATCATCCTGCCCCGCAGCCTGGCCTGGGGCCTCTGTGTTCCCGGCCCCTGGCCCCAAAGCCAAACCCGATACTGGGCTCAGGTCCCTTCTGAGGCAACACTGGGCCCCAGAAACCTGGGCACACCCCGCACCTCATCCGGGTGCATCTGGCTCAGACGCCGGACCCTGCTCAGTCCTGCACTCCCAGCCCCTCCGCACACCCCCACTTCTGCCCAGCTGCACTTGTACTTCCTCCTCGGCCACACCGCCACCCAGGGGCGCCCTGGACGGGGCTGGAGGCAGCAGCGGCGGCTCCCACTGTGAAGTCTCCCTCCGGCCTCTGAGCAGCGGACCCCCAGGAGCCTGTGCCACCGGGCAACCGTGGGGGTTTCTGTTCTCAGCCAACACTGGCCAGCGGCCTCCACTGCACGGGACCATCCCAGGGGCTGCAGGGATTGGGGCCCCACCAGCCCGCAGCTCCCACCACTCCCCAGGCCCTCTCTCCAGCCTCTTCTGGTCCCCCACACGCCCCTCTCAAAGGCCCTTCCCAGCTAAGCAGCCCCTCCTCCATCCCTCCCTCCAGACCCTCCTTTTCTTCCTGTGTTTCCTGTGCTGACATCCACTTATGTGGATGTGTCCCTTTCCTGTCCGTCCTTTGTGCCCCCACAAAGTCCCCCTCCCGCTCTGCAGCTTCCCGGCATGGGAACTGGGCCCGCAGCCCCGCAGCGGCCGACGGTCATTGGCTGACCCACACGGCCGCTCTCGCTTGGGCAAAACTGGGTCAGCAGTGACCAAGCCCTGCCGCCCATCTGAGCCTGCACAGTGGCCACAGAGCTATTCAGAAACGCGGGCCACTGGGAGAAGCACGTGGGCCCGGGCGGTGTTTCATAAGCGAGCAGGTGGACCTCACGCGGGAGGTCGGAACACGCCTGCTGGAGTCCCGCGGAAACGCGCCTCAGACGCACTGGGCGCCCCAGGGTGGCTGAGGAGGGGGGACGCCGCCCCATGGGGGATGAGGGAGCATGCAGTGACCAGTGACGAGGGACCGCACCCCCACCCCCGTCCCTAGCCAGCTCAGCGCAGGCGGTCCTGGCTGGACACAGAAGGCGCTCGATCTCCCTGTGTGCCAAGGCCACGGGCAGCTCACTCAGGGCACAGAAGTGTGCAAAGCCGGGCACCGCAGGGGACAGAGGGCACGGGGCGTAGCAGGCTGTGGACAGCCGCCCGCCCTCTCCTCCTCCACCTGTGACTCCAGGTCTGGGCGCCGCTGGGCATCTGGGGCACTGCAGGGTGTTCAGCGGAGTCTCCAGCTTCCACCCACTGGATGCCAGGGAACCCCACCAGGCGTGACAACCAAAAACGGGGCAGAGCTGCTTCCCACTGAGCACGGGAAGAACCCCAGGTGGGCCTGAGCCAGCTTCCTGGCTGGCCCAACTTCACATGCCGGGGGCGCTCGTTAAAAAGCACAGGTGTGGGAAAGTCTGACCCGGGGTGGGACCCCAGGGGTGCTCAGGGGTCCAGGCAGAAGACAGCGGCCCGCCCCCACCACCGGCCCGGGGCCTCGCCCTCCAGTCCTGGCCCGAGCCCCTGGCTCCCTCCCCCTCCGCACCTGTCCTGCCCAGGTGGCCCCTTGCCACTTCCCGGTTTCCGCGGGAGCTCTGCTCTGCGCACACCTCTCCCACCAGGCTGGAGGAGGCCCAGAGCCCGTGCTAGCCCCTCCACGACGGCCCAGCCTCCTGGGAAGATCACAAGGGCGAGACCACCGGGCGGTGATATCGGCCACCTCTCGCTGCCCCGGGCCCCGGCTGTTCCCCACAGCCCAAGCAGTGGTCGTCCCCATTTCACGGATGCGGAAACTGAGGCACAACGAGGTTAAGGCCGTGGGCACCGGGTCCTGGGGCCAGCAGAGCCCAGATCGGAGCTGCCGACCCCAAAGGCCCCGCTTCTGACCGCGGC